AAAGGAGGAAAATGGAAAGGAATTCCAGGATCAAACCGACTTGTCACCGGCCGAAGCGACGGAAGTGGCAGAGGGCTCTCCCAAAGAGAAAAGTGGACGTGCTCGGAGTGGAGCCACCGCTCCAGTGGAATCGAGGAGAAAGAAATCGAAAGTGCCTCAAGCAATCGCAGAGTCGTCGATGGACCGGAGTGTACGGAACGAGAAGTTTGTTTCGCGGTCAGGAGTGACTAATGAGAATATGTAGACCGACGGGGAATACATGCCAAGAGAGAGAAACGCCCCTGAATGTGGGCGGAAGAACGGAGGTCGCAGACGAGAAACAAATCATAGAACCATAGTCAAATTAGGTTATGACTAGACGTGAGAATATTAGCGGCTAATTCATATGGGTTGAACGGGTTTTGATTGATCTGAAAGATTATAATGAAGCTCTCTTTGGTGACGATATCGCACATTTACCTTCGAAGCAAAGAGCAGGTAGGACTAGGTGTAATGGTCATACTCCGTCATCGAAAAAGTACACGTGCGCATGTATATATATTGGAAAAGAATGACCCTGGTTGACCGAGTGAAATGGCTTTACTTAATTTGTGTTGTCCTTCTCATTTGAAAACGCTTTAAAGTTAACCTCCCCTGTCCAAAGTGTAATTCGTTGTAAGGACATTTTGAATGTCGCGTTGAGGTCATGAATATCTCAAAGCATGAACACGAAAAAATCCTCCCAGATAGAAATTGGAAGATGCGAGCTGCAAATTAGCGCCAGGCTGAGCTTGGTCGTAAACGACTATAAATTTAGCTACGCGCTAATGTAACGCATACCGTTTTAAATTGAAGAGAGGTTGACTTCGCACACCGTACCCAAACGGGGGCCTTACGATCCCGTGCTTTCCCTCTTTATTGCTTGTTCTTGGCACATTTTTCCTTCAAATCAGCATACACGACGCGTACATCTCCATTTATTTTCTCAACAGGTCATGGGTGACGTGAAAAGGCAGCAGGCTGCGGCAGTGGAGGCTTCTATTCATCAACCCCTGGAACGCCTCCTGTCTCTCGACGATGTTCAAGCTGAAGCCCGAAAACGTCTCCCCAAGTAAGTGAGGAAAGGGCGAAGGAAACGAGTGATAGGCGCGGAGGTTCATGAATAGTGTGCATGGAAGTGCCCGTCTCGGATGTCTGTCATGAACTGACGGTGAATACTATTCCTGTACATGGATGGTGGACTGACAGGGCCCTCTATGAGTATGTCGCCTCGGGTAGCGACGACGAGCAGACATTGTGGGAGAATCGACAAGGATTCAAGCGCCATCTTCTCTGTCCAAGAGTGGGTGTAGACGTGTCAAAAGTGGACATGAGGTGAGCATAGCATTTATCCGAGGGCGAGGTGTTGGCTTTTTTTATTCCATAAGTCGACTGCACGCAGAAGTCCTCCCCAAAACCAACTTGTGAAAGATTTGATTCACTTATTTTGCATGGTGATATTCATCGACCTATTCGTTGCGGGCTCACTCCGTAAAAACACCGCACCAGCCTGACCCTCTTCGAAGACACCGACCACGCCCAGCACGCTTCCCTCCCAATCATGATCTCCCCGGCCGGCGTCCATTGCCTCATGCACCCCGACGGTGAAATCGCCACGGTCAGAGCCGCGCAACGCGAGCAGGTCGTCATG